TACTAAGTAATTTAATAAGTTATTTAACATTTTATATCTGACACATACATTTGTGTGAGGCACTAGTGATATTTTACCAGACACTGTAATCTGGAATATGTGGTTTTGTGCTTAACACAATATAAATGCAGTCGATGCCTTCATTAAGGATGTGAATTGTTTTTGTCAAGAGAACATCATTATTTATATTCAAGAAAAGTCCTCCCCAGCCTGCTGTCACTAAAGGTAGAGGTCTTTTGGAGTCAGAGACATACTGAACTGACACAAACTAGAGCTCATACTTGTGAACTAATTCAATCACTTCCTAATTATTAACATTTTTTAATAAATTATTTATTATTATTATTTTATGTTTTTGTTTGAAATAAACAGAGCACATCCATCTTTTGGTAAGAGTAGTAGTCACAATTTCAACCTGTAGCCGACTTATTTGGGGATATCATATTCATAAATTAGTTTCCACAAAGAACCCAATTGTTCACTTTTAAGACGTTGCTGTTGTGATTAGCAATTAATTGGTTATTCTTTATTAATTGGTCATAGTTCACAAGTAGTTCTCAATGAGGATATTTTTTTTAGTAATTATCAAATATCTAATGAGGAACTACCTTTGTCCTAAATTTGCTACTACTCACTGCTTCGTTAATCTTGTTTCTCTATTAGTTAATAGTATTAAGTTAAGTGTTAATGTAGTACTACCTATTACTTCCTGCATAGTTACTTGTTAACAACGGACCATTATTCTAAAGTGTTACCAGTTTTTTTATATTTAAAGAATTTGCCACTGATGATTCAAATGTGAGTTTTGAGCAGAGTAGAATAGCGCTTGTTTTTTGTCATTTCTCCGATCACAAATGCAGACATGGTTTTATGTTTACGTGGCGCGATGCAACGCGACGTGTAAAAAGACAGTATAAGTCATTATAATCCATAAGAATGTCCCCACAGGATGCAACAAATGCCTCGTTTATAATGGGTTTTAATGTTTTTGTCTCGTCGCTCCGGCCGGGACAAAGCATCACAGTATGGTAAGGGGCATCACACGCTTGAGGTATTCGGCCAATCACAACGCACTGGATAGCTGGTCAATCAGAGTACACCTCGCTTTTCAGAACAATGAGCTTTGTAAAAATCAACACGTTTCAGAAAGGCGGGTCATAGAGGAGAAACAATAATGTACAGTATGTGGAAAATAATGTTTTTTTTAACCTTAAACCGCATAAACACATTTCTTTACACCAAATAATGTTCTTTTTAGCAACATCATATGTTTTAAAGGCACTTCAAGTGTTTTCACATTAAACATTTTAGAATGTAAGATTTGTCAATTATTTCATTCCTTTTTTACTCACAATTTGTACAGTGTCCCAACTTTTTTGGAATTGGGTTTGTATATATACACTTGAATGGGGCTGGGTGTCCTGTGAGTGGGAGGGGTTAATTGCTGCAGCTACCAGGGGGGTGTTTGCACTGTGTGCTGTGCTTTATTTGTACTTTTCACATGTGTGCTTGTGTGTGAGTGGTGTGGTTTGATATCAATTGTGTTTGTAACTAGCCTATGGGCGATCTCCTCTTGCTACAAGTAGTCCCTTTGTACAAGTCACCTTTATTTATATAGCGCTTTTAACAATACAGATTGTGTCAAAGCAACTGAACAGCATTAATTAGGAAAATAGTGTGTCAATAATGCAAAATGACAATAGTAAACACTCAATTTTCAGTTAAATGTAGTTCATCATTGAATTCAGTAATGTCATCATCCAGCTCAGTTCAGTTTAAATAGTATCTTTGCAATCATTTGCAATCAAGTCAACGATATCGCTGGAAATGAAGTGTTCCCAACTAAGCAAGCCAGAGGCGACAGCGGCAAGGAACCAAACTCCATCGGTGACAGAATGGAGAAAAAACCTTGTGAGAAACCAGGTTCAGTCGGGGGGCCAGTTCTCCTCTGGCCAGAGAAAACCAGCAGTTCAATTTCAGGCTGCAGCAAAGTCACATTGTGCAGAGGACTCATCTGTTTCCTGTGGTCTTGTCCTGGTGGTCGTCTGAGACAAGGTCTTTACAGGGAATCTGTATCTGGGGCTCATCTAGTTGTCCTAGTCTCCGCTGTCTTTCAGGGCTGTAGAGGTCCTTTCTAGGTGCTGATCCACCATCTGGTCTGAATACGTATTGGATGCGGGTGACTGCAGTGACCATCTGATCTGGATACAGTGTGGATCTGTGGGCTACGGTGACCTCGGAATAAGAGAGAAACAGACTAATATTAGCGAGTTATGTGTTTGTTTGTTTGTTTGTTTCTTTTGATTTGTTTTGTGTAATTGAAGATTTTACCTATTTATGGTGAAAGAAATAAAAGCCTATTTTCTTATATGTTGCCCCCATCTCTAACTCACTATTATAACAAACCTGTGTGTCCTTTTGGGACCGTTATCCCTGGTACATTCTGGGGTGGCGTAGTTGGATATTGTGCCCTTAGAGGCCTTTTCCAGTGATTTCTAAGACATAGCTTTGGGTGCTCTTCTTTAGTTTAGAGTCACCAAGTGAGATTATTTGCTCCCCCTACCACTCTGCTACAAAGCCAAAGACACTCTGTGATGTGGCTCTTAAAAGAGCCTTTGGGGTGTAG